GCCGGCGGCGGCCCGGCGGCCTGGTGGCGGCTGGCGGCGGCCCGGCGCGGTGGTGGCGCTGTCCTTTGGCGGCGGGGCGGCTTGGTGGCGCTGGTTGGCCGGCGGCGCGCCCAGCCCAGATCTGGGCCCTCGGGGCTCCATCTGGGTCCTTGCGGGCCGGCCCCCGGGCGTGTCCTCGTTGTCTGCGGCGTGGTGAGGAGGAGGAGCAGCTCGGTCTTGGGGCGGCGGCTCCGACGGCGTGCCGGCAGCAGCGCGAAGGCGGGAGCTTTACGAGCCCACGAGGGCTCGGCCGGGCCTGGTGTGCTCCTGCTATTGCGTCCGGACGACTACAGTCGCTGACGGTGGAGGTGGGGCCCTCCCGCGTGCCGACGGGTTGTTGCCCTAGTCCCGGCTCTGATTCCTTGCCGTGCTGTCCTCACTTCGCGGTGCCGTGGTGAGACGGCATGGGGGCCTCGTGACCGCGTTGGCGCACGGTGGTGGTTGGTTTGGTGGCAGGCTCCGGGGTGCCCGAGGTGCGGGTTGGGATCGGGGGAAACCCCTGTCGGCATGGCCGACACCGACGCGGTGGCACCTGTGGGTGCCTCCTGACCTTCCGGGAGGGCGTCGGGGCTACCCTTCCTCTCGTCTCGTCGTGTACCGGGGGAAACCCTTGGCAGCAGCGTCGTCATCGTCGCGATCCTTCTTGGAGGTGTTGATAGGTGCCGGCGCTTCGGAGTCTTGGAGTCTAGTGGAAGAGCTTGGTGGGCGCTGCGATCGCGAGGCTTCTTCGCTTTTGTTGATCCGTCGTTGTCGGCATTTGTTTCTTTTGCTTTTCTCTGTCGTTTCTTTTTGGGCGTGTCTGTGCTGCTTCCGCCTCAGCACCTTTCCTGTATGGTTCGGTTGGTTGCTTTGTATACAAAGCGGGGGGAAACCCTTTTTCGGTGTATAATAAAAATGTTGTGTTTCTACCGTTGCGGTGGAGCAACGAGCTGCTTGGCTCGTTAAGCCCGTGCTCGTCAAGGCTTGGCTCTGTAAACTCATTAAGCTTAACAAGCAGAAAACCCTGCTCGGCTCTGTTCATTTGAAGCTCGTGAGCATTGTTCACATACTACAATGTGTTACGGCCTTCAGGACAAGAATGTATGTGTTTCTTTACGAAGAAGATAGTGACTACATGAGGAGGTGCACTAATTTGCTACCTTCTAGGGTTAGGTCGATTTGATTGAATAGATCGACTTAGGTGCTCCAAAATGTTGTCACATAAGACAAAAATATGTGTTGGGTTATACTAAACGAGCTTAACGAGCTGCTCCGGGTGAGGTTATCGAGCGTTCATTAAGCTCGCGAGCTACGAGTTTTGGTCCAGCCACAGTGGGGACCTATAGCCGGTGGAAGCTTCTCCCGCACGAGTCGACTCTTCGGGTGAATAGGGTTTCCGCTGGTCAGCCGCCCGCCACCTCTTTGACGGCAGTAGGGGGGCTGGCGTTTCGGTGTCCCAGGCCAGCGTCTTGTGGTGTGTCGCTGGTCTCTCTCCCCATGATGTGACTGATGGCTGATGAAGTTCACATGTAGATGGATCAGTTACTCTTTCTTGTTTACTTTTATCATATCAGCCGTTTGTTCATGTGAGTTTGAGGTTTTGAGACTACTCGATTAACCTCCGATGGCTCCGCCGACCGAGACTTCTTTTCGTCAATGAAACTACTAAGTTGCATTTGCCGCGGTTTGCAGCAAGCAGCGACAATCAGGGCTCTTCAAGATGTTATTTCGAGTAGAGACCCTGACGCCATCTTTCTGTCAGAAAGAATGGCCGGCAGAGCGTCTTAGGAGAAGAATGAAAATGGATCATAAAGAGGTGGTCCGTAGCGATGAGAGGAGTCGTGGATGAGCCGGGCGAAGACATGGCGGCACGCGGGTAGGGTTAGGGGCAGCAGCGGCGGTGGAACGCGGCAGCTGCGGGTCGGGCGCGGGAGGGCGCGGCACCGAGTCGGGTCAGGGTTTGTGGGGGCGGGAGAAACAGTGGCGGCGGGTGATGCGGTGGCTGTGGGGGGCACGCTGCGGAAGGGAGGCAGCAGCGACGGTGCGGCGCAACGGGCGGCGGCGGCGCAGCTGGAGAGGGGGGGAGGGCGTGGCGGCGGCGAGTGCGGCGGTGGTGGGGATGGGCGGCGGCGGCGACGGCGGCAAGCCCTAGGGAAGGAACGACCAAAATGATACCATGTAGAAGGGAAAGTTTGCAATACAATAGACGTTATATTGATGGGGTGCTGGTGCACGTATATATAATTACAGGGAAGGCCCCTACCTAAACTATACAAGACTAGGAGGTGAGCCACAACTTCAATATACATGCAACACAAAATACAAACTCAACGAAGCCCACTCTCGGTCTCACCAGCCACGACGGCATTGTCCCCATCACACCCAGGCAGGACACCGTCGGGTACTTCTTCTCTCCTCCTTATTCTTTGGTTTTGCCCCAATCAGGGAGGTTTAAAATTTCGGTCACTGGAAAGTTTCAGACCGCCGGATAATCTAAATTTAGTTTGTACATTCGATTTTAATTTGAATCTTGGCAGGATTTTGGGATTAAAAATATTTTCATTGGAAATTCCAAATGTTCAAGTGACAAATCTATAAAATTCCCAATTTTCCATTGGAAATTCCAAATGTTCAGCCCTCAATTTGCAATGTAGACCGATGTGTCGGACGCGATGCATGTGTTGGACGCCATCGTTCGCTACGACGCGCACGACGCCGCAGCCACAAGAGCAGCATCCAAGTACATCCCTCACGGCGGGTACACGCAGTGCCTGAAGAAAGACGGGTTGAAAGGGAAGAGGATCAACGTCCCCAATGGCTTCTTCCAGGGATATGGACAGGCGCAGCTGAATGTGTACAAGCAGCACCTCGCCACAGTGAGGTACGTGGTGCCGCTTTGCATTTTCACTGTCCATCGATGAATATGAATTTTGGCAGCTGACCAGTGCAAATATAAGTTGATTCTTCATTTTTGCAAAGGAAACATGGAGCGGTGGTGATCGAGAACCTGAACATCACCGTCGATATTGGTCCCAACGAGGGGATCGCGATGCAGGCAGAGTTCAAGATAAGCCTGAACGCGTATTTGGCAGACTTGGTCTACTCCCCAGTCCGCTCCCTTGCCCAAGTCATAGCATTCAACAACGCACATCCCATAGAGGTAAACAATAAGTCTACAGAAGCAACTGAACCTTAGGTTTATCTCTTGATTTCTTATCATAGCTTCAGAGTCGGTGTGGTGGATTTGCTGAACCTAACCCATGACATGTTTGCTGCAGGAGCTGATGAAAGATTTTGGCCAACCTGACCTTATCGCGGCCCAAAACACAAACGGCATTGGCACCGTGGAGAGAGCCGCGATCCAGCGGCTGAAGGAGCTGGACACGGAAGGGCTGGAGAAGCTGATGAAGGAGCGCCAGCTGGATGCGATCTTGGTGCCTAACAGCGATATATCTAGCCTTCTCGCCATTGGTGGCCAGCCTGGAATCATTGTGCCGGCAGGGTACAACGAGCAAGGGGTTCCCTTCGGGATATGCTTTGGCGGGCTGCAGGGGTACGAGCTGAGGCTGATCGAGATGGCCTATGCTTTTCACGGAATACAAAGTGTTCTAAGATTACGTGCCTTTGTGCTTTGTAAATAAACTTTCCTCCTGCTTTATAAATAAAGCAATCATCTGCGACAACTCACGTGACGCAAGGAAAACATAAATAGTCTACCGGGACATCAATACAGAACGCCCAAAAATCAACTATAAAAAGAAAGTAACGTGTAATGGTAAAATATTCATCGTGCATCCAAAAATATTCTCTGTGTATAAAAATATGCAACGTGTTTAAGAAATATGTTGTACATGAGTTTGCCGAGTGCTAGATCCCCTGCTTCCAACCACAAGTGGACATAAAGGCACTCCTTAAAGTTTTCCTTTCCAATAAAGGCTGGCACTTTGCCAATTTCATTAGAATACAGACATCAAAATATGAGTATTTACAAGTTGAGGAAACATGTGTTTATACTTTAGAGTGTAGTACATTTTGAGAAAACACATGTATGGAACTGATAAAAAGAAGAAAATACATGTGCAAAATGTCATAAAAACCAACCAGGGCTTGCAGATGCGGATGTGGGAACCTCGGCACAGCGCCCTTATGCCGCCGGCCCGGCGGTGACCTAGCTGCTCATCCAGTGCCCATCCTATCCAATCCAATCCAATGAGCAGGGCAGTTTTCGTTTGTATACGGAGACTGACCTGCTGGCCGGTCAGGTCAAGTCGCCGTCGGTAGATGGTGAGATGTTTTTCATTCATGTCACAACTTTTTTTTTCCTGCGGAGATCATTCGTGTCACAACAGTGTTCTGTGACCAAAACAAGAGCGCCGTTCATGTTACCTCCCACCCTGTAGCTCCGCAGCTGGAGACTACATCCCCTAAAAAAAGCAGCCGGAGACTATAATGTTTGTACGTAGCTAATCAAAGACAACATAATCAAAGAACATACAATTAAACAGACCTCAAAACAACACCTTTTCCCAGACAACAACTCAACATTTATCTGAATTTACCAACACATCGCTTTGCCACCAGAGCCACTCCCGGTTCTTGGTGGATAATACTACTGGTCTAATGTGACATAAGCGATCGGCAGCTTCACCTCATCAACCACCTGATTCGCCATGGCCGTCTTGAACAATTCTTGATAGTTGATCTCACCAAGATCTTGGCTGACACCGGTGCTCTGCACGAGGAGCATGTCCTCGCATCGCATGTATTGCGGTGCCACCTCTTGCGCTGACAGCGTCACGACAACATAACGCCTGGAGCACGGCGGCATGGTCCCTTGGCTTGGCCGCACACTGTACTTGTTCGGGTTGATCTCTATGTTGAATGCGATGAAGCCACCCGTCTTGTTGGTCAGCTGTAGGCAGCACGACGCCTCCTTCCTTAGCTCAAAGGGGAACCGCAGCTCCATGGTTGGATCCACCGACATAATGTTCGTGTCACAGCTGCTCTGCAATGGGAAAGAAGAAGAGGTAAATTGGTGTGCCCAGTTAGTAAAAAACCTCGTTATGGACAAAAAAATTTGACAGGCCAAAACTGTAGAAACAGAGGATTGCAAAATACTGAAGAAACGGAGGAGTGACACGCATGCCCTCGCAGTAGTCGAATGTACCTGGACAGCAGTGAGGTCTTTTGACACATCAGAAGCTAGTGACATTGCTTTAAGCTTAGCTTCTAGTTGATCCAGTTCATGCACAATATCGTTGATACATGGCCTTTTGTTTCTGTCGTTGTCCACACACCTTAGTGCAATCCCAACACATGAAGTCACTCCTAGGATGTCTATTTCGTGTGAGGAATGTCCTGTCTTTTCCTGCAACTTTTTCGTCCAGTTTTCACTGACCTGCATGCAAAATTAGGGCATTAAACTCTGGCTAAAGATACTAGATGGCTTGCAGTGCAACAATGTGAAAGAGAAGTATATGTGTTATTGGTACAAACAGAGAAACAATTTTTTATTTGCCGGGAGAGAGGATTGCTCTTACAAGCTGAATAAACTGTTCGGGGGGTATTTCAGAACAGCGGACGTAGTTCTTATTCCCAGCCAACATTTTTATAATTATGACGCCCAAACTGAACACGTCAAACTTCTTTGATATAAAGCCATCCTTTATGTACTCCGGTGGCACAAACCCGCTGCATTGATATGGATAATTGGTAAAACACATGGAAAATAAAATTCTTTAAAAATAAATGTCTTAGAGCATGATCCATCTACTTACAGTGTTCCATCGCGCATCTCTGTTTGTCGTGTTTTTGTTGAAGCAACGAGTCTTGACAAACCAAGATCTCCAATTTTGGGCGTCATACTTTCATCCAACAAAATATTTCCAGGCTTTAAGTCTAGGTGGTAAATATGTTTTCCCTGGGAGTTGTGAAGGTGATTTAGTCCCTCACTAGTACCTTTAATAATCTTGTAACATGTGGGCCACTCAAGTCCACAAGATTTATCTGCAATTAGTAGCAAAATGTAAATATAAAACAAGCTAATGAATCATTCGTCCTGATTGGCAAACTAATACATGTGGCCAACTGTCAACCATACATATTTTAAGATAAAGGGAACCTCCATTGATTATTTGATTAGCATGAAGATGAAACAACTACGAAATAGTTCAAATCCTATCCCCCTGCATATAGGATACTTATATCCACACTAATATAGGTTACCTTGAATGTGTTCATCGAGGCTTCCGCCGTGCATATATTCGAAGCAGAGCACTCGCTCCATTATTTGAGCGAAAACAAGATCCCCGTTGTGATCCATGTATTTATGCCGAGACTCGTAGCAGTAGCCAATTAGCCGCACAACATTTTGGTGGCGTATGTTACGAAGGTTGCGGAACTCGCTGTCGAACTGCTTATCACCGAGTCCCGGCAGTTGACGAAGCTTCTTCACGGCAATTTCTTCCCCTTCATGGGTCGCCTGATAAAATCGATGATCAGTTGCCATGTGGTACAGAATGTGATTATATTTGAGGGAAGCACAAATTGTAGATATAATATACCCTGTAAACAACTCCGTATCCACCGCTGCCAACTATCTGATCGTCTGCAAAGTTGTTTGTGATAGCTTCAATAACACGGAGTTCGAAATCCATGCTGCCGCTATCTCGCACCCAGCAGGTGAGCAGGATTACAGGCCGATCCTCCTCTTCTTCTTCCTGAGAAATGAAAATAGTAATGGAATGCAACATCGATCAACTGCTGCGGCACCTAGAAACATGAAAGATTGAAACTATGTAATCCCATCCATATAGTCTCCACTACAAGTTTGCTATTGCTGTGGAGGCGTGGTAGAGGGTTGATCCGAGGAATATGAAGGTTGCTGCGGGAGAAGAAGATGCAGAGGAAGAAGAAGGCTGCTGCTAGAGGAGGAGGAAGAATGCTGCTGGACCTTTGGATCAAGCAGATCCGACGGTGGAGAGAGATTTGACTAGATTACTATAGAAGCAAGCAACTTTCAGACCCTAAGTTTCACGTCATACGAATTACTAAATCAAGTACTCGACTGCGTGATTTCCTTGCCAGATGAAGCGACCAAAGATGGCATAGTGCCACTGACCTGGACAACGAACGAAGATGAGGAAGGCGATGATGCAGCAGCAGAGTTGGTTGCTCGTTGGTGGCCAAGACGATGGAGCAGCAGCAGCTCGCAACCTTTTAATGGAGGCAAACGCGTTGCTGGCTTGCACGTTGACCTTGACCCTGATCTGTCGTAGGAAAAAGGGATGCGCTGGGGAAAGCGTGTGCTTTCCGTCGACATCTCTGCGGAGGAAACGCGTTTTAACCAGCGCCCGAAGGAAGACGGTTCAACGCAAAACATGGGCCTCCTAGTTTGTACTACTCTTCGATCGTCAGAGTGGAGACGGTCCTCATCTATCTATCTATCTATTATTTTTATATATCTATCTATTATTATATATTAAAAGTAATATACGTTGAATCAAAAGCAAGGGAAATAGCAAAGAAAATCCCACATTAATAAAAAAAATACCAACCCTTGATCTTGCTTTTTTGATAAAACATGATGATGAGTGACCCACGTGTATACGTTATGTTCACTCGCGGGACATGGGTGTCTTGCCGCCACGTGGCTTGATGGATGAGATTGGCATGTGCTGTCAGAGCGGGGCCAAGACAAGCACGGGAATCTTTGTGGCTAAGGATAAAGCCTCGCGGGAAGATTTTTAATGTCCGAGCCGGCGCAAGAATGACGAGGTACTCATCGAAAGAAAAGACAGGCGTAAAAAATACTTGGATACACTTAGACGACCAAAGATTCAGATGCGGGGAGATTCACCGAACCTATTTTCAAGCCGACAACTAAAAATTAGTAACAACTCGGAAAATAAGAAGAGCAGTTCTAACTTGAAGACCGATTCAAGGGCTTACTAACAGTGTTCACTAGTGCAGAACCGGGCAATAGCACCGGTTCGTAAGGCCCTGTAGTGCCGGTTACATAACCGGCACTAAATTGTGAATAGTGTTTTGACAAGCGTACCCATTTCTGTCTTTGAGATCTGCTTCTTTCGGACGCCATCATGTGAATGTTCTCGCAAACGCAGAATGCACACAGATCAGTCCCCTGCGCCTGCTTCAGGGCCTTTATGAGAATGGAATTTGATCAGATAATAATTAATCAAGCATGATAATTAAAGAGATGGCAGCTAGCTAGCTAGCTAGTACTATTTAATTACTTACTTTGGGTCGAAACCATTGAAGCTTTTGTTTCCATTCGCCTTCCGTGACGGCGATGAACCTTGCCCAAGCCCTGCCCGCCGACAAAGAAAATGAATAAAGGGGTTATTAAATAGTTCATATCATGAAATGACGAACTAAATAGGCCGAGATATATAGTTAATAATGATTAAAATTACCTGTTGACTATCCCATACAAGATTAGTGAGTCCAGTACTTCAACTGTTCCGGCGTCAACTTTAATGATACACAAGACTCAGTGAAATCTGCATGCACACACGTTTGCATGTCTTAATTAAGCGGCATATGTAAGCAAAAACATGTAGCTAGCTAGTAGGCAAAAACAGAGAATTTGTAGTACAAGACAGTGTGACTCACTGGAAGTTGTAAGGAAGTAGTATATCTTCATTGTATTTGAGGCGCTTCAAGAACTCTAGCATGCTGTCCTCTACGTTCTTTTGCTGACGTTGATTTATCTTCCATGTGTATTCATTAACGGTGTTTGGGTCAATGAACCCAATGCCAAAGCGTGCACCTTTTCTCATTTCATACATCTTCATCCTGCATAATACCACAGAAAAGAATATAGTGAGGATAATTACAGGTAATGATTGATCAAAAGGATCACTACAGCTAGCTTGAGACTTAAATTATAGAAAGAAATCACTTATAGACAATAGCAACTGACGATAGATTTGTCGAGTGCGTCTTGATTGTATAACTGAAACAGTTCTAAATACTCAACGGACACAGCTTTCTCATGGAAGTAATGGTCCTGCTTGACATTCACCATGAGGGACAATCGATCTGAAATCTTGGTAATGTTCATGTACCATTGATGCAATTCATACATTCTCGTTGGGAGGTTCTTGACCTTGTCTGGCGCGACCAAAGGTTGGCCCCGGACATATTTCCGTTTTATTTCATCCTCTCTAAGCAAAGGCATGGGCTCGATCTCGAGGAGTTGTCCAACAGTGATGTTGAGAACTTCAGCCTGCATTATATGCTCCTCCGTTATTACCACATTGCCCACCTCGGAAACGTGCACTGTTTGCCCACAATAATATTGGGCGCGCGTACTGTCACCTGTTGTTGGCACAACAAGCGAGGGGATCGATTGCGCCGCCTGTTCTCCCAGCTGGGGAATGGTTTTCCCGCATTTTTTGGCAGCTGCTTCTGGTTTGCTCGATCCCGATGTAGACGTGCTCGCCTCCCTTTGTAGACGTGCTCGATTTAACTTCCTGATGTGGCGCTCATAGTCTGTGTCAATAGGCTTGGGAGCTGGTGGTTGAGCCATACGAATGAAGTGGTCAATCGTTTCCTCAGGCACTTTCTTCCTTGGCGGCGGTGGCGGTTTCGGTGCAAAATGGGCTTCCACCTCGGCCTTCGATATGGCTGTGATTTCCTCCTCGGACCTGTCATAAGACCTCTGCGGAAGAGGCTTGAGGCTTGGACCATATTTATATCGCTTGCCTCCGCCTATACTTCCTGTACTACCTCGACTCGTATCGCTACGCACCATAGCTGTGGGGTGTCTCTTCTGCGATTGCTGAGGCGGCGGAGACGGCTGACGGGGCTGAGTTGGACGAGGAGGAGTGGCCTGAGGTTGTGCCGGACTTGGAGGAGGAGTGGACGTCTGATGCTGTGGCGGACTTGGAGGAGGAGGATTGTCCTGACACTTTGCCGGACTTGGAGGAGGAGGAGTGGCCTGACACTTTGCCGGACTTGGTGGACTTGCAGGAGCGGGAGTCTGCTGACTCGGTGGCGGACTTCGACGAGGACTCGGTTGACGCAGTGTCGGTGGCCTTCGAAAGATGATGCAATCCTTTTTCCATAGGATGATACGATGTTTGGCCTCTCCGAGAAAGCGCTCGCTGTCACCTCTAGCAATGTCAAGTTGTAGCTCCGAATATGGTGGGTCCACCACCTCATCAACCAAGACACGAGCATAGCCCGGTGAAATCGGGTTGCAATGGAAGGTTGCCTCGGGGGGATTTGTAAAAGCAAAGCCGTCTGCCACCTTCATGGATATGTTCTTCATTTTGACGTGTAGCTCGCAGTTAGTGTTCTCTGTGATGTCATCCACGGGGTATCTACCCAGCATTGCGTCGTCCGGGACGGAACCCACGCTGCTTCTCGGCATGGATGGGCCGGTGCTATCCAATGCTGGATCATCCGCTAGCTGCTGCAGCTGCTGAGACCCCCTTTGATGGGTAAGTGAGTCGATCTGCTCCTGCTGCCGCTGGAATTTGACTGCCAATTCCGCTTGACTTGCTTCTAGGCCTTGAAGGCGTTCATAGTCCCGCTTCCTCTGCTCCTCCTCCATCTTCCTCTTCTTCTCCTCCGCAATCTTCTTTCTCGCACGGGTTCTGTAGTCGGCGTTCCATTCTGAAAACCCCTCATACCACGGAATAGCGCCCTTGCCTCGTGTTCTTCCCGGGTGTTCAGGATTTCCCAGGGCACGTGTAAGCTCGTCGTTCTCTCTGTTGGGATGGAACACCCCCGATCGTGCCTCTTCTATTGCAACAAGTATCGCATCGTCGGCTCCCTTCAAACTTGCCCTCGTCGAAACATTGCCTGTCTCCGGGTCCAACTCCCCCCCATGCGCATAGAACCAAGTCCTGACCCTGGGGGGCCAGCTCTTAGTAGCCGGGGTGACACCTGCATCCTCCATCTCTTTCTCAGACTTATCCCACTTAGGCATTGCCACCGCATAGCCACCTGGCCCCAGCTTATGGAACTTATCCTTTTTTTCGGCATTCTTCTTGTTTATTCTCGACTGTTCCTTAGCTAATTCCGAATCCTTGAATTTCACGAAATCGTCCCAATGATCACATTGGTTCTCTAGTGTTCCCTTGAATATTGGAGTCTTCCTTCCTCCCTTGACGTACTTCTTCCATTCACGATTCTTGTGGTTCTTGAATGCAATCGCCATCATCCTAAGAGCAGCCTCCTTGACTTTCTGCACATCTGCTTCTGTGAAATGATCTAGTAGGGTGAAATGTTCCATGAGAGTATCCCAAAGCAGATCTTTTTGATTCTTGTCGACAAAAGTAACATCTGGACGTGGAGCAGCGTCCTCTTTGCCTTTTTGTCTTTTGTCTTTTGCTGGCTCTCTCCATTCTTGAAGGGAGATCGGGAGTTGGTCCTTCACAAGAACTCCGCACTGACGAACGAACTTGTCCGCAATCTTCTTAGGCGCTAATGGTTTGCTAGTAGGGCTGCATGCCTCGATATTGTACTTTACGCCCGGCTTCAACTTTTTGTTCGGGCCTCGTTTCGTCATTTTGCCTGAAGATTTGCTCGATCTGGATGACTGAAAGAACAAAGATCGATTCGTTAATATATCTTCAAGTCATTTAAAACATGTGATGATCACCAGATGCCTGCTTATATAAATATATATACCTCGCCGGTCTTTGTTGTTTCAGGATCAACATGTTCTTCGTCATCGTCATAATCGTAGTTCATGACTTCATCAATTTGGTCGTCGCAA